CACAAAATAATGTTCTTTTTAGCAACATCATATGACCCCTTTAAGACAAGTGAATGTATTTTCCGAAAGCAATTTATAGTGTATTATCTGTGACGATTTATGTTCCCTGCTCAGCCTTGAAGGATTCACTGATTGCTTGATTGTTTTCCCTACACAAGCTGTTTTTTTTGTTTTTTTTTGCATGAACACGCAGCAGACAGAAATACAGCTTGGGTGAACCCGAAATAAAATTAACAATAACGTCTCTACGCATTTCTTTTCTAGCAACTTAGTGCCATGTTGTATTAATGAAAAATTCAAATAAGTCATTTGTGTCAACACATATTAAAACATTCAAAAAATAAAGTTATTTGTGTGAATAGTCGCTGATCCTTTATGTCAGATACGACTGACTGACCAATATTGACTAGCCTACAACTCTGATAAGATTCCTAAAAGTTTCACACCTACAGCACACATTACAGACATCGATGCACAAACGCGGATATGTTCTACATGTCTTATAAACTCCTTGATTTCGCTTAAGCAACTTTAAATATAATATGCATGCTCAATAAACTATTGTAAAATGTATTTACATCACTCGACAGAAAGGTTTTTGCAGGTTTGAATAAAATGTAAATGAATAACAGTTATAATAAGCATATTTCCAGTACGCGCCTCAGGCTTGCACAGTATTGTCAACTCACTCATCAGAATCTTCGGTAATCCTCGGTAAACTTCGACAGTTGGTTAAACCGGCTCAGTGGACCTTTTTCACATTTGCGGGTTTCTCAGCAGCGGAAGTCGTCATAGTTGGGTTAACTTGAATTGCAGTCAATGGGAGAATACTACAAATATATGTTTTGCATTCCCATTTGCTCAAATAGTAAAAGAAAAACTCCACGATAGTGTTTTCATGAATTTTAATAAAAGGACAAAAACTGAGAGAGACTGATAGCGGCAGTCAGAAGAGAGAACGATGTCAAATTTACCGTCCCTCCTATAGACGCTGCATTAGAAACACCCTCGCATTAGCGTTAACTGTTTTTTTGTAATTTGATGCAAAGGTGATATAATACAAAGAATAGTGTTATAAATGTAGATACATAAAAAAAAAAAATAAATACAAATATGAAAAACTTTTGAGGATTTACGATGCTGATGACCGTTAAACGCGTCATCACAGTCTTGTGAAAAAGGTCCATTAGTTGTTGTTTTCTCAAATGTAATTTTTTATGCTGAAAATGTGTCAGCTGGAACAGGGATTTACATAAATAAATAATAATAATAAAAACATTTATTTCACTATTAAAAACAACCATTACAATAATATTTTCATGCTTGCATTAACCATGTTTTTAAGTTATATTTATTCAAACCAAGTATAAATGTAATGTTTAGCATTTTACATTTATTCCAAAATATTAATTTATTAAGAATGAGGTAACAGTTTTCAGATTTTGTGCATATTTTATCTGTGAATTGAACTATTTGTTTTAAAACTTGTCACGTGATCATTCATTAAAGCTCGGTAAACACTGCAGGTGTCCTGATGATCACGGATACAGAGGTGTAGCTACCTTTAATTTCACCATGTTTAATGCCCACTAAAACCGCCTCAGATCATTATCAACAAGTCATTTAAGGTTTGGAGAACATACTGGTCTTATAATAGAACAGACACTTATATTCAAATCAAAATAGCATGTAAATCTGACAGTATGGTTTGCATGTGTGATCATTACCATGGCTTTTTCAAGGTGAGTGCAGCTGTCTTTATGCCTCACTGTCTTAATAGTGTTAATGGGAGAGGATCATAATACAATGGAAGTCACATGGAGCTTGGGCCTCCATTAGATAGCTGACATTTAAATAGGATTATGCAGTCATGGTATAGAATATAATGACCTCTTGCTCTTTCTTCTTCCTTCCATCACAGAAAAGGCGCCACCATATGACCCCAACATCACTGAACCCAATACTAGAGCTGAGCTGATGAAATGTGCGCAGGAACATTACAGGAATTGTCTTGGTTTTATGCTTTTTATATGTGACCCTGGACCACAAAACCAGTCATAAGGGTCAATTTTTCGAAATTGAGATTTATGCATCATCAGCTGAATAAATCAGCTTTCCATTGATGTATGGTTTGTTAGGTTAGGACAATATTTGGTCGAGATTAGGGCTGGACAATAATTCAATATCAATATGTATCGCGATATAATTTTTTTCAATAACGGTGATATGATTTTTAAACACATTTCCGATATTTCGATATACATTACCAGTTTCCCATACATTGATTTATTTGTGGCGTTTGACTTCGTTGAATAAACATGAGCACTGCACGTTTCAAATTCATAACACGGCGCGGGTGTTTTATATGAATGTATCTCTGAAGGGAACCGACTGTCTTCAGAAAAGTTTCGATGGCATTTTCATTTGATCTGATAAAGTAGCATTCATGAGCGGAGCTGCTTTGATTACAGCCATTACTGGAGAAACCGCTAGTTTTATCACTCTAAAAGCGCCTCCTGCTGGCAGAGAAT